CACCACCACCACCACTACCACTACGGTGGTGACTAAGATTCGATTCTTGAATCGGTTATAATCATGTTTGAGCAAAGAGCAACACGAACTGTAAAAAGAGAATGAGAAGAGCCAGTTCCTTAATATCACATGATAACTCTAATTCGATTAACTATGATTTGCTTGATGAGTGCGTTAGCTCAATATCAACTCACTCTGTCTATTTTGTCCCACACATCATTTCGCAGGCACGAGATTAACAGTCTTTACAATTAATTACCTCACAAGAGAAAGTAAGGAGTCAGAAATGATCAAATTTGGGTCGGTACAATTGAGTATCTGTTGTTTTATTTGTTGTCGCAGCCAGGATTTGATAGCCTCAGAGTACTGCAGCTCAAAGGCAAGAGCACATTCTAAACATGGATACTGTCAAAGCACAAAATGGCCAACTTCATTCGAATGGTTCCATCGTAAAGGTAAGGTTATTGAACCCAACAAATAACCCACTGACTGACCCTCCGACCAAGAGACTGAAAAGAACAACGAAGTGACTGATTACAGTCAACAACAGTCACTCCGTCTGTCTCTCTCTTACCCATACAGTCTGTCAGTCAGTTCATCAGTCAGTCCATTTCCAAGTCTGTCAGCTAGCCAGCCAGTCAGTTCATTAGCTAGTCCATTTCCAAGTCTGTCAGTCTGTTTGTCAGCTAGCCAGCCAGTCATTTCGAAATTCATCAACCAGTCCATTTCCAAGTCTGTCTTTCTGTCAGCTAGCCAGCTAGTCAGTTCATCAGTCAGTCCGTTTACAGATCTTTTAATCAGATCTTTTAATCAGTCAGTCTGTCAGCTGGACAGCCACTCAGTACACCATCATTCTGTCAGCTAACCAGCCAGTCACTCAGTGCGTCAATCAGTCTGTCCATGTGTCTCTACATTTGTGGGTGTGTCCCTCTTCCTTTCCTCTAAACTGATCTTAATTTTCCCGATCAATTATTTCTAGCTGCAACAAAATCTCCGAGTCTGATCCTCGAGAGCCATATGCATCATGGTATCAAAGTGTGGCAGATTTTCATAGCCGTTTTTATTCCTACACTAGCTGTTGGGCTTGCTGTAGCAGTGGCGATATGGATGAAGAAGAGAAGTTCTCGACATTTAGCAGCTTACATCAAACATTATGAAAGAGACGCTGATGATACCTTTCCCTTGGACACGTGACTGTTAGAACATTTGGTTGAACGAGAGGGAGGGGGGAGTGGGGAGGTGAACTGGAAATTATACACACTTAACGACGTTATCTTTATTTTATGGTGCAAAAGTACATGTAATTAATCATTCTGTACATCAGGCGACCGATGTTTATCTGAGTGTAACGAGACGTTATCAAAGTTGCAAAAATTAAAAGTGGACTCCCTCTGTGGTCGTGCTTTGAAATTTTCGGCTAAAACTGAGATATTTGCATGAAACAGTTCAACTCTCTCAGAAAGGAGGGGGGCAGTGCGTTCTATTAGAAACGGCAAAATTGTAGATAGAATCATCTAAAACCACAAAACCGCAAAAAAATGCCATCAAAACCGAAAACCGCACGCAAAACTGATAAATTTTCACATCTAAGTTATCAAAACTCTAATCGATCCGATACAGTGGAGATGAGCCAGCATACAGAGGTTTCGCGGCTATCCGAGATCAGGGGAGCTGCATAATTGCCGCTCAGATCGAAGAGAGACGAGAAAAATTGGGACCCAAATAGGAAAAACCGAAAACCATATCTCATACCAGATCCGAAAACCCGTTAGTATCTTTGATGAAAACCGAAAACCAAATGGAAAATCTGAAAACAGTAATGAACACCAAAACTGAAGATTTTTGGCGCAATAACCGCCGAAAATTGATCTTAAAAAATTGCCAAAACCGTAAAACCGAAAATCCCAATGCCCGAATCCGTGCTCCTCCCGTTAACCAGTCCTAGTGACCCAGATCTCGTTTACCCTTAGAAGAGACATCCTCTTTCCCTTTCCACCGCTTAGACCCCTATTTCCGATTTTTAGAAAAATACCAAGTGTCATAATAATTATTGTGTTTAATTAAAGTGCCCACTTTTGAACCCTTTTGATACGATTGAGATTCGCATGTTTTAGTCTACAAAGCATTGGCTTAGGCTCTGGGAAAAACCGAAAAACCGATTCGTTAAAATCAAAACTTGAACTTACACCTCATCCTCGCCTAAACCAGGATGTCCTAAACAAGAATGATCCTACTTGCCAAGCAAGGTTTCAAAAATGTCGCGCGATGACTTCCGAGCGAAAATTGTTACAAAACAAAATCCTCAAACATGACGCTTTCGACATTGCCGATCCTGATAGTATACAGGACGCGGGTCATATATGAACCGTCTTCCGGTTAGCTCAATGGATAGAGCGCTGGACTGTTGTGCGGGAGGTCGAGGGTTCGAGCCCCGGCCGGACCAACACTCAAGGTCTTAAAATAATTGAGAAGAATATGCTACCTTTCTATAACATCAAGAAATGGTTAGATATTCTAGTCTTCTCGGATAGGGACGAATAAATGGAG